TACTTAGGTGTAGTCGATGTTAAGATAATACGATGGGTATATATCCGCATAGATCACATAGGGCAGTTGATTGTCCGTACATCTTTTAATTTTAACAAGAGTTGAGTTTCCTTTTTTTGATTCGTTTAATTCACTCATACACACGAATGCCTCATTAAGTAATAATCAAAGGCTGCAATTTAAAAGCTTCTTTCGTTGACGACGCGAGCAAGATCTTAAGCGTGTTAGAAATTTCCGATGTAAATTATGAAATCGCATGGAACTTATTGTTACGATAATAAGCGCATTATTGTTCATTCAGGTAAAGGCAATCATGGATTTACCATCCATGATCAAAGAAAATATCGTCGAATTGCAAAAAGTTGCAGACGGTGCAACAAGATATATTCATGCTCTTCAGACCTTGAAGCGGCCTACATCTTATTGAGACGATTTGTTGATTCATATTTTAAGTTACAAGCTCGACGCGCTTACTTTTCGAGAATAGCAGTTATCACTGACGAGTTTCGACCCTAAAACAATTTATTGATTTTGTTATGTACCCAATCCCCGGGAAATGATTTATTTTTAAAGGAAAGATAAAAGAGAGTCCCGTTTAGAAACTAGGCTGGATTCGAAGAGAGGGGGAATATAGAGAGACGTAACTAGATAGCCTGTCTCGCAAATAGACGCGGTGGCATATATGCGAATCGAAGGCGTTTTAACCGGGCTTGACAGACGAGTCAACGTTCTGAAGGGACGATGTTACTCGATCTCAAACTAGCTCGATCGTTGGTCCTGTTTCGGGCAAGGAACTTAATCCCTATGACTCAGGATTGGACCAGTGCGATTTTCTGGGAAGGGGGATGAACGAGAGTGAGGTCGTTTAAATGCAAAAGAGCTAGATTGATAATTAATGGCTATAATTAAGTTTATTACTAGGTATGATTACAATTTTCACCGTAAATGAAAGATAGAATTAATGTCATTAACTTAACATTTTTATTATTACGCAATAATGCATTTCAGAAGATTTAGATTACAACTATAGATTTAGATTACAGCTATAGATTATAACTAATTCTTGTGAAGGAGACAGAAAGGAATTCGGATCGAAGTTATAATAATTAGCTAACGGATAGTACTTATCTTATTTTATTTTGAAAGATGTGTGCGTAACACATTAGAGAATAAATGCGGAAATTATTGATTATAATCGACATTAGAAATAAAAAAGGGGCGCGAACAAGAGAGTGAATATAAAATATTATAAAACGTCTTAGTAAATTATTATTACTTATTTTTACGTATACAGGGTGTCCCGTAACGCTTAATTAATATTTCAAGGCGTGAAAGAGAATGAAATTTTGAACTAAAAGTTCCTCTTTCAATTTTGGCTCAGACCATTATTTACAGAGTTATTAACGAATAAAAGATCGGAAGAGCACACGTCTGAACTCCAGTCACTTA